GTTTTGCGGCTGGATTGTGCGTGTTTCGTGCCATCCATCAGTGATGTGGCTTTGGCGGTTTTCTGCTTCACCCCAGCAGAGGATGGAGCAGCCATGAATCGCAGGTGTCGTCAGAAAAGCTCCAGCTTCAGATCATCTCAGAGGTCACGTTAAAGGACGGAAAATGAGGAAACACGGCTTTTCCGTTTAAACAGGTCCGTGTGTGGAAACGTGACTGTGGTGTCACCGTGAGCCTCATGACCGCGCAGGCTGAGACAGCATTTGTGAACTTTGTGAACCAGGTTGGTTGGTCGTGCTGGTCGATTGTTTGTGGCCTGTGCTGGTTTCACTGGGCTCACTGGTTACTGCGCACCACGATAAAAGGACTGGACGCGGTCACACGTTCATTTGTGCACGGTGGATCTTTTGCCCTTTTGTGTCAGTGTCTTGTCACCCGGTGTCGGCGTAGAGCGCCACACGTTTGATGGAGACCTCTGTTTATAGTTTTGTGTGTAAAATACAGATTGTGTTGGGTGAATGATCCTGTTGTCTCTCTGAGAAAATGTTTCAGGATTGCTATCGGAGGATTACAGTAAGTTGGGCCTGGTCAGGAGCTGCTCTGCTGGTGGATGCTGGTCTGAAACCAGTTTCATTGTTGGTTTGAACAGCAGCGTTTTGCTTGTATTGTCTTTGTCATTTTCGTGCTAGTCTTTGCTGATAAACGTGTAAAGGACTGCAAAGCAGCAGCTGGTCTCTGTGAGACAAAGTAAACCATACAAAAGCAACTGGTCAGGAGGTGGATCGGTATCGGTGGAGCAGAGACAGAGGTCGTGTGAGGTTCCAGGACTGTCACTGTAGTCTGCTGAGTCTAACAGTACAGGGAAAGATAAACACAGAATAAAGAGTGCCATTGTTGTGCCCGAGGCTTCAGGCCATCCCAGGATCTGGTCCAGGACACACTGGGACTGAGGCCTGAAATCTCACTGCTGTGGTGACCTGATGTCCAGTTCCATGTTTAAAGGTACATGTCGCTGTTCCACTTCATGTGTGTGTCAGTGGACCCGCATAGGGGTGAAAGTGATGCAGAGACAACAACATCAGTCCGTGAGCCTGGGTCACATTTCATTCACTACACCTGGAAACCATTATCTGATCTTCCAGGTCCAAGTTCTGAAATTCTCCACTTCGCACTAAAATGGGACATTTATGAATGTAACTCTGAATGTCATTTGTCTCCAGCCTGGGACGTGCAGACATATAAACATCCGAGGCACCAGGTTGTGTCACTGACACTTCCAGCTCCTGACAGATTTACCCAAACTTTTCTTGACTTTGTCAGATCTGTGAATTTTCTAAGAGTGGTCATGGTTTTGTTTCCCCCAGAGAAACGGCTGCATCCCATTTATTTCAGAATATCTCATGTTTTATTGAAAGTGCTTCCTGTTTTCGGTACTGTTTCTGTTTTTATTTGTCCATCTTGCCACACCCTGTTTATAGGGTTTAGATGTTGGATATTCTGAAACAAAGGCAAAACCTCAGAGGAATCATCATTTTTCAAACATGAATTCTGGTCCCCTCAGATTTGCTAAACTGGTTGAACATTCTGGGATTTTTCCTCTTTTTATAAAACATTTGTACTGCAAGAGTTTATTTTCCTTTTTACGGCATCAACATTTGTTGTCAGTTGTTTGTTTCCCGACAACCTGGTTCATTACTGAAATACTGTTTAGTAGCAGAGCTTTAACAGTGTCCATGAACACACCAACAGGAAGTGCTTTTCAATCTTGTCAGCTGCACATGGTGATAGCCCAGCTCTAACAAACACTGAACGCTGAGCCCTGACTGCGGTGGAGAGGCCTGCAGCTCTGCGCCATCTGGAGAAACAGGCTGGAACTAACAGCAGGGAGGAGCCCGGTGTGAACCTGCAGGAGGACGAGTGGCGGTTGATTTGGTGTCCACAGCGATCTCCGAGCTGCAGCCTGTTCTCACCGGGTCTCACATTTTCAGAATAAGTATGGCCCTAACCTGAGTCCAGCCCGGTGTTTAAAGGTGATGTCTTTTTATCAGTCTCCTCTGCAGCCCAGCTGTGTTGTGCACGCAGTCCCTGTATCAGTCACTGAAGCTGTTTAGCTGTGACTGGCAGCTCCGTCGTGGTTGTGGTTTCCAGTCTTGTTGTGAAAATCCTCCGTCACATCTCAGTTTGTAACACAATGTTAGTGAAAGTCATCACAGAGAAAATCACTTGAAATGATTTGTTTTGAACTGACACACCAACCACGCCACTCTGTTTGCTCTTCATGCAGCTAAAGACATTAATCAATGAGCTTGATCACATTAAAGCAAAAGTCATTTCAAAGTCAAGTAGTGAGAGTGAATACACAGTAGAACTGTACTTGCTGAGAGTGGTTTTCATCAAGTCACCACGCTGACACGTGTCTCTGTGTCCTTCACTGTGTTTAATGGAATCAGGTGTCGATCTCCTAGTTACACTTGTTTTATGGCTGAACTCAAGGCTTGTTTGAAACCAGGGGAAATGAACATCTGAAGTGTTCACGGTGGAGATGTCGGGTCTGAGACGCTGCTGATTTTTGTATTTAATTTACAGAAAATTGAATCTTTTTCTCTTTAGACTAAATATCTGTTTAAACAATTAAGAAAGCGATCAGCATCGACCACAGAAATTATCTGCAGTCCAGATGAAGGTAGTTTGTCACAACTCACAGCTCCCCACCGGCCACACATTTCCTTCAGAATCCATGTTCTACTAGCTGTTCGAGTGGAGCCTGATCTCCTGTCTGGTGCGTGGGTAGAACCACAGCTTCCTCCTGGTTTGTGGCTCCATGTTATTTGGCCACCTGCTCTTTTGCTTGCCACACGTCTCTGAACATGATGCTGCTGTTGATGAGTTTCTCACATCACACTGACACTGTAGCTGGAGGAAGATGTTTCTACTGTTGAAGCTGAGCTGGCGCGACTTACTTTGAGGATCCTCTTTGCTCGTGCATTGTTCTGTGTAACTCCTTTTAATCCCAAAAGCAGCTGCTCGTCTTTTGACTGGAGTAAAGAAACGTGAGTGTGTTACTCCAGTTCAGTCTACTCTTCACTGGCTTTCTGTCCACTTCAGGATTGGTTTTAAATGGGACAGTTCCTCCTTAGTTATAAGAAATAAATCCACATCCATGGGCCATCCAGAGCTCTGAGCTCAGCTAACCTGACCCCTGATGTGACTGAGCTTTGGCTAAAGCTGCACCAAACCATCTGCCTTTAGCCGACGTACTGCCCACAGCCTTTTACATCTTTGGTGAAGACTCTCCTGTTTTCATCGACGTTCAGTTTAATAAAGACACCTTCCATTGTCTGTTTTAATTCTTTATCTTGTGATAATTTGTTAATGTGCTTTACTCCATAAACAGTCTTAAGCTTTGTTATTTCTGCTCCTGTTTGGACGCTGACATTCAGTGGCAACGGCCTCCAGAGGTTACAGTAACGACAGATTTCACATTTCATCCTGTTAACAACAACATAACACTGTTTGCTGACAGGAAGCGTGAGTGCTGACTCACACTGTTGTTATGGCTGGCAAGGCGATGGTCAGTGTGCTGCGGTAGGAGCTTCACCCTCCTCCTCCTCGGCTGGATGCCTCCACACAGCAACATGCTGAGCATCCAGCCGTCAGGACTAGATCCAGAGACGCTGACAGCTGCTGGACCTGCACAGTGCTGTGTTCTGTTTGTCACATCAGGTGAAACCACTCGTTTTGTGGCAGTGGTAGTTCTCCCGGTACATTCTGTGTTGCTGTCAGACAGTGACTGAACCCGAAAGCTGCACTGGCCACTATGTTCATAATAACAAGGGAGCACATCAGTGTCACTCCAAGTCGCTTCTGTGTCGACCAGTTTTTTTGGCCTGTAGGAAGCTCAGTGAGAGTAGATCCCAGACACATTACAGGGGCAGGGCTGACACTGGTTCGGTCCACTCTCTGTCACACATCCGTAATCTTCCCCCGCCAGTGTTCCACGGTCAGAACATTTAGGGTGTGGGTGTAACAGGAGCTCTGTCCTGACAGCATCACAGTTGCAGCCGTTTTAAAACCCTGAAACACTGAGAGGAGCAGGCGCCATTTTGGGCTCCTCCTCCCAGTGGCCTACAGGATGCGGTTGCCATGGTAACTAGAGGGAGGAGGGGGCGATGCAGGGTGGGGAGGATGTGAGGTAGGAGCAGATGGCGGTGGGAGTGATCGACACAGTCTTTGTTCAGAGAAGCACATTAATGTTTTATTATGGAGAATGTGTGTTCGTGAAGGATGAGAGCAGGAAGGAAAACAGTAAGGAGCGGATTTAGGTGATGCAGCCACAGAGTGCACGTTGGCAGGAGGCTGGAGGGCTCAGATAACACAGGGATGGTGGTGTCTGATGCCCATATGAAATGTTGTTTTTTATCTGACAGTTCCACAATCATAGCATGATGTTTTTTTACGGTGTCTGTGATGACGGCGGCGATTTGAACCCAAACCACGACCTTGACCTAAACCTAACTTGTCTGTGTGCGAAAACCAAATGAAATTGTGATGTCTCCATAATAGTAGCCATAATGATGATGGAGGTGCCATAAACACTGGTGGAGCTGTTGCCGTTAAACCTGCCACTGTAGGAGATGCTCCCGTGGGTCGGGACAGACCAGCTGTATGAGGCATTTGGTCTGAAGGGCTGGTCCTCTGGAGAGTCACGGATCATTGGGCTTCTGATCTTCTTCTAATCTGGTGTCTTCGGGCCTGATCCTGCCGTGGACTGGTTGGTGAGCAGTGTGTTTTCTTACGTGGTGCAGATGCTTCATGAGCATCTTCTTTGTTCCCAATCGCTGTAACTGGTGTTTGGAAATGTAAAGGAAGGTGAAACTGGTTCATCTGGACACTTAAAATCATCCTCCGTCTTTGTTTTTAGTTCTTCCTTTCTCCTGTCCGCGTTTCACGCGATCCATTCTTTGTGTCCTTATTCGTTATTTCTCTCTCTCCCTTCTTTCTTCCCTCCCTCTCTTCCTGTTTCATCTCTTGACGGCATAGTCTCGTATTGAGGTCACACACATTGCAGTGGTTGTTTCCATGGCAACTGCACCATTAACAGGGCTCTAACGCTCGTTAACTCTCTCTGTCTGATTCGTTGTCCTCTCAGGAGCTGCACGTTTTCTTACCCAGCATGCTTTGCAGCGACTGCAGCAGCAGCTGTGTGTGTGTGAGCACAAAGCTGTATCAGAGCAGAATTGCTGGATGTAAATGTGTCACTGTGGCGATTGATGGGGGATGGGGGCCCGTTACTATGGTAACACAGAACATCAATGTATCAGAGGTCCTTGATGGGAAACGGGGGCATTAAGTACACAGACACACCCACCGGCTAGAGTATGTCTACTGACTGAGAGGTCCCACGGGTGGAGAGTGTGCGCTCTGTTGTTGTTATGTTGCTGCTACATGAACAGTGTGTGTCTTCCAGGTTCATATATCTGCTGTGTTTTGGTAAAATGAAATTATCGGAGAAACTGGAACGGTGACTCGGTCCTCAGCAGTCTGTTCTGTAACCCAAGAACATGTCCAATAAGATCCCCATCACTGCCTCCTCTCAGACCTGCAGCCCCATCCTCCTCCTACCCACAATCCCCTGGGGGTCATGGCCTCATAATGAGTCCAGGTCTGCTGAGCTGAGAAGAAACCTGATATCAGGGACAGGAAATCATCAGAAGCACCTTGGAAACCCAGTGGCTGTCGGTGTCGGTCCGTTCGCTGCCTGAAACACAGCAGGCAGTGAACAGACCGACACCGACAGCAGCTTCACCTTGGACTCTGCAGTGAAGGTCAGACTGAGTATGTGCAGCAGCAGCAGCTGATCTGAGCCCAGAGCAGTGGCCTCATCAGACAGAGCAGATGAATGAGCGGGAGGGGACTGGAAGTTTGGCCAGACGCTTGTTTTCAGCAGTGCTGGAGGAAGCACTCGCATCTTTTACTCAACTGAAAGTAGTAATACCGCAGTGTAGAAAAACTACAAGTAAAAGTCCTGTATCTTATGTAAGAAAAAGTACAAAAGTATTAGCCCCAAAACATAAAGTACCTAAAGTAACTGTACTCCTTGTGCAGAACGGCCCATTTTAGAATGACTGTTATATTGTGGGGCTATAAGGAATTGTTCCTGCTTATGTTGCTCTGAGGTTAGAAAAGTCGCACTGAGGTTTATGATGGTAGAGCAACAGGAAATATTCAAACCAAGGCTCCATTTTATAAGTTGGAAATATTCGGGCTTTTGTTTCAAATGCCGTTTCCCGTAATTCCTCAGTTTTCAGTGTATTTCTCCAGATTCCAGCCCGAATTATTTCATGTGTTTGGGTCTTTTGAGAAAGTTACATGACGAGTGTGTGTGGTCTACTGCAGTAAGAGGTACAGTATTTCCCTGTGTAAATGTAGTGAAGTAGCAGAACTTTGAACTATTCTGGGAGTAAAGTAACCAGGACCTCTTAGCGTTAAACTCCTAATGTCAGTCATTCCATAACGTGTCCGCTAACCGTCGGACTGTCACCAAGCTTCCTGTTGGCCCTGTCACAGTGAAACGCATTGATCCAAAGGGAGGCTGATCTGACAGATGAGTTCTCTCGCTGTGAGCCGTCTGCTGCCCGGAGGAGGAGGAGGAGAGGCAGACATCTTGTTTGCTCCTCAGGCTGGTGGAGAGCAGACCAGACCAGTCAGGAGTGGCACACACATTATATCAGTTTCTGCTGCCATGCTGAGACTGGCTAAGCACTGCCAAGGCCGAGCTCCCGCTGAGTGAGAGGCCTGACATCTCTAGTGGGTGTTGTCCCTGGATGTCGGTGGGAGTCTGTACAGAACGTGTCAAGGAGCAGATCTGGACATGCAAAGACTTTGACTGGCCTATGGTTCTCATTCCTCAGAGCAATGTGTGTGTCAGGCTGTGTTAAGTTTATAAAACTCTCCCCTCCTGTGTGTTTCCCTGCAGGGGGCGCTGCACAGTGTGAAGATGGCCAACGCCGTGGCTTCTTACGACCAGCTGGCCCACCAGGTGGAGGTGCTCCGCAAGGAGAACTCCCACCTGAGGAGGGAGCTGGAGGACAACTCCAACCACCTGTCCAAACTGGAGACGGAGACATTCGGCATGAAGGTCAGTCTGAAACAGTGTGAAAATCACACACCAAGAAGTGCAGGTTTAAAAAATTAGGTTTTGCCCCAAATTTTGCCTGGCAGGCAACATACCACCTGCCCTGCCTTCCTGACACTACTCAGGGCTGAAAAGTCCCCCCACCAATTTACTCATAATTTAGTATTTTCCAGATTATATAAAGACAGTGACATGTATACAGGTGATTACCTTAGAAGACAAAGTAGGAAACAGTTCAGATATGTCAGGAGCTGCATTTTGTTTTGCTTTTAATAGGTACATGGTAACACCGGTTGCAAGTACAGTTTCTGTCCAGTGACTGAATTTGCATTGAACTGACTAAATGTGCAAACATATCTCTGTTATGGTTCTTAAATGTGACGTACACTGTAGAAAATTAGTACATTTTCATTGATGTGTATGTGAACGTAGATGTGCTGTCTTTGCTCCCTTTTGCTTATACTTTTGGATTTTGAGAACTGAATTGTTAATGTTTGTTTTTCTGTTAATGAAAATGTATGAAAAACTGGGCAAAAACACTCATTTGTAAAAATGTTCAACTCTTTGTTTCACTGCAAAAGATAGCTACAGATGTTAGTTCTCTCATTTCATGACATTTAACTGTCTTTGAGGAATCGAATCTGTGTTTAGTTTCAAATCAAATCACTTTCTGAACTCAACTGGATTTATAGCTAAAATAATCAATAAATAGACAGAAACCTGTGAAATCAGGCCAGGGCCAAAGCTGGACATAAACCCCATCAGCTGCACGCACATGCACACACACGTGACTCCAGATGCAGAGCAGCTAGATTATCAGACTTGGCTCTGCTGGTTTTATCTGAATTAGGACGCCTCAGTCTCAGACTGAAGCAGCTGCAGCTCACATCTGTGGTCACATGGCTCACCTGCATCAGGTGAGTCTGCAGGTCACTTGAACAGTTTTCTCTTGTCAGCAGCTCATGGGGTTAAACCCAGGAGGCACAACTGTGAGGGAACAATCTTCTTGTCCTGGATCAAGTGGTGTTTTACTGCCTGTCTTATGGGATTGTTTTGTTTTTGTGCAGTGTATGTTTTTAAGACTAGTGTCTGGTTGCGGCCTTTGGTGACTAATGCTAAACACCGATGCACTCATCAGTCTGTGATACAGGAGGTTTTCTGTGTGTTGACTCTGGATGCAGGAGGTGTTGAAGCAGCTACAGAGTAAACTGGAGCAGGAGGCGGGAACTCTGGCCTCGTCGGGGAGGAGCGACGTGCTGCACCAACTCAAAGGTCTGAACCTGCTTTAACATCATTAAACCACAAGCAGAAGTCCTCCTCGTGTCATCTGTCCACGCCAGGCAGATGTGATGGGGGACGTTGGCTTTATACAGAGAGGGAACCAATATCTGACGGAGAACAAAAGGATTGTCAGAATGGTTGTAATGTACCTTTAAAGTCCATTCTGTGAGGATAGAGATAGGTGGGGCTGACTCTACTGGGACCAGTCCTCTTTCACAGACAAATAAATCAGCCCAGTCGGCTCCCTGATCGGCTACAGCTGGCTCAGCCTCCTTGTGAGACTTAGATAACCAATTGATGTCAATTAGTTTGTCTGGACTGGAATTCAGTTACCTCCAGTGGAGATTAACAGCTGGTGTGGTTACAGAAGGATGTAAAGGGGTTGAGTCCATAGTGAGCTCTCACAACGCTTACTAAGAATAATCAATAAAAACTATAAATAAAATGCCCCAAAGAATTTACATGAATATTTATAAATAACTGGTAAAGGTGGAGCTGATGGTAACTACCTTATAAACTTATACTGTGAAGTACTTTACATCCTGCTGGGTAGCTGGTGGATTTCCCACCGGGATCAATAGAGTCTGATGGTTCTGCTGGGTTTGGTTTGATTCATCTGATTCTGGAAAGTAAGTGAAGTTATCAGGTACATGTAGTGCAGTAAAAAGTACACGGTTTGTCTCTGACATGGAGTCACAGTATGAAGTAGCAGGACATGGAAGTACTCAGGAGAAGTACAGATACCTCAGAACTGGGCTTAAGTAACTCTGGTTACTGGTTACTCAGGTAACACAGGCTAGATCTTCCAAAGCGCAGCTGAGTCAGGCGTGGATATATATACATAGATAGATGGATGGATGGCTGGATAATCCTCCTTGTTCTTCGTCCCTCAGAGCTCCACATGGACCTCACCAACTACTACGAACTCAAACACCAGCCTCACAACCTGAGGCTGCTGACGGACAGTCTGGGAAGGCCGGGGCTAACAGGTGCTGCAGAGGTGCGGTTAGAAGATCGTCTGGCTCTTCCTCCTTCTGCCTGCTCTTCCTCCTCCTCAGTGGCGGCAATGAGTAGAGCCAGTTGTCCGCTGAGAGCCGCATCCCGTCAGAGCGCAGTGTCTGGGGGGGAGGCCGCCGCCATAATGCTGCCTCATCACTTCCTGGACGGAGCCCCACCAAAGACCGCTGTGATTAGTGGAGCAGATGGAAGACTGAGCGACCATCACCTGGAGGAGCTGTACAAGGAGAGGTGAGCTCACTCATGAGAGAGATGATGAGCTCCCATCACTGTGACTGAGACACGTCTTCAGGGAAGCAGGCGGCTGCCAAAATATTTATCCTGAGGCCTTTAAAGATCCTGTCTGTGCTGTCCCCCCCCCACAAACCCCATCCAGAGACCAGCAGCACCAGTGAACGTGGTGTCCTCACTGTGATGCGAGTCCAGACCCTGGTTTATCGCTATGTGCCGTAGACATCCACTGTTGTCCACCAGCTATTAAACCCCATATTTCATATATGTGTGTATATTTAAGATGATCTAACCCCTTTGTAATTAGTTTCAGAATTTTGTCTTGCTACAGTGTAAAATGGCTGCTGTGATATCATTTGCAAAATAAATACAAACCTAGAGGAAAAAAGAGGCATAATTACAACAGATGCTACATTTATAATATGAAACTTTTTCTCAAGTTTCACAATTGTTTTTAATTATGTAGTGAAATATTTGTTTCATATTTACAGTTTAATTTGAAGTCATTTAAACAGAAAAATCAAATGTAATAACAGTAAAATGAATCTTGTACAGTAACATGTGGTCTGTCAAATGTGATTGGCTTGGACATTTTTCCATTAGAACGACCAAAAGCAGCACAGGCTGGTGGTTTCTAGAGCAGCAGCAGCAGAGACGCAGCTCACAGGCTCCATGTTTGCATCGATGTTGTGAAGCCTGAACAAACAGGAGCCTCTCATGTTTGTGTTGCCCGCTGTAGGAACCTCCTGCTGGGGGAGATCGACCGCGAAGAGAGAGAGCGCTGCTGGTACTTCAGCCAGCTGGAGGTGCTGTCTCAGAGACTAGCCCAGCTGCCTCGGATAGACACGGTGAGCACGCACACATAGAATATGGCAGCCTCTGTCCTGGGCCTGAGGCTTCGGGGAATAATTAGATCCTGGTTTGGTGAAACATTGTGGTTTGGTTAATCTCGTGGTGTGACTATCACCTCACTTTCAGGAGTTAAACTTGAATTCCGATCAGAAAAACAAACTGTCCTATAACACCAGAAAAAGCTGCTGTCATTGTCCTCAGGTGTCTTGTTCTGTCCAGTGAAAACAACAGAACACGGCAGAAAATGTGAGAACCCGATGTGTTTTTTTTTAAATAAACATCGACTGTTAACTGTTTCAGCTCTGAGCAGTATGTCAGCTCTGTGTGCGTCAGAGCAGCCTTTTGTCTGTGTGTGAGCGTCTCTGGCAGCTCGGTCCTGATCTGAGTGTGTGTCTGCTGCTGCAGTTTTCTCTGCAGATGGACCTGATCCGGCAGCAGCTGGAGTTTGAGGCCCAGCAGGTTCGATCAGTGATGGAGGAACGATTCGGCACCAGTGACGAGATGGTTCAGAGGACGCAGGTGAGACGCACACTGCTCTTTTACAGCTTTAATGACAACATTAAATTAACCATGAAAAACTCCTGTCAATGTGTTGGACCTCATCAATGTCTGGGAAATATCTGATCTAATTTCTGCTCTGCTCTGTCAGTCAAACTTTGTATTTGTACAAGTAAATGAAGAGTGAAACCAGACTAACGCACACAAAAACATTACATGGAAAATGATCAAAACCAACAGAAAACGTTAAAACACAAAACTAGAAAAAAGAGAAACGGCAACAGCAAATAAATGAAGGAATCGACCATTTTCAAACAGTAAATACATGAATAAACAGAACTGATAATGGAAGTTGGGTCATCCAGGTTAAAGTTTGCTTTTACTGAAAACAGCACCACCCTCAGGCAGAACCACGACACAATGAGCACCATTAGAACGTTATAGAAACTATACGACACGCGACTGTCGTGTTAGTCGAGAGCGTGTGCAGGAGTTGTTCATGTTTGTGTTCACGGCGTTTTCTCCAGCACACTCAGATGTGTGGAGGTTGTTGTTTAACAACATTAGTTGGATTGTTAAAGATGAATTCATGACATGATTTCAGTTGTCACTGAGCTGCGGCTGACAGCTGCTGGTGGCGAAGCCGCACATCTGGATGTGTCTGAACTGTGTGTGTGTGTGTGTGTTGCAGATGCGTGTTGCTCGCCTGGAGCAGCTGGAAATAGAGCTGCAGGAGGCCCGGGGGAGTCAGGAGAACCAGCTGCAGGTCAGACACGCCCACACAGCAACACATGCACAAACATCACGCACGGACAGCGGTGCGTGCACTGAGCATCACTCAGACCGAGGCAGGTCCCAGTTTGTGTTAGAGCTGCTTCACTGAATGTGTTGGAGGCTGAACTGAGCCACTCGGGCTGATGGGGAGTCAGGTAACCTGTGTACACGTGGATTTCCAGGATGTTTATACAGTGGAAGGCTGCTAACGCACACAACTGCACAGACCACCTCACGTGCTCGCCTTCAAAAACTGTAAGGTGGCTGGAGAGATGCCACCAGAGCTGTGATCAGTCCGGTTGGTTTGCATTTGGTGAGGGAGAAGACGGCATGAAGCGAGATGAAGATGCACTCCAGGCTGGACATTCAGATGTTGCAGCCATCGCGCCGTCTGGTCCACTTTGTTCTGCTGGTGAAGACCTTTATCATTCAGGGAACTGTTCAGTTAAATGAGCTGCTGCGGTGCATCCTGTTTCCCCGTGAGGCTTCTGTGGCTGCAGGTGTCCCACTGACCTGCTGTCACCAGTAGAAACAGCTTCTGTAGAGCCGCCTTCTGTCTGTTCCAGATGGAAAAGGTGGACTTGTTGGTGGCTTCACCCTGTTTGACAGTCACTTCTGTCTTATTATCTGTCCCCCTGAGTAGCGCTGAGCTGGGAGGGGGTCTAGGCATTCAGTCTTTGGTCTGCTCACTTCTGGTGATACACTCTGGCCCAAATCAGTTGTTCTCCATACATAAGCGTTTGGAAAGGGCCGCAGTAAAACGGTGGAGGTCCATAGTTTTGAGCATCCCAGCCCCCCAAAAACGATTCTTCTTTTATATGATTAGATCCATTTGGTCCAAAAGTATTTGGACAACATTTGAACATTTGGCGGTACCCTGTCCTCCTCAATTCATTTGCAGTTTGCACCAGTCAAGGACCAAACCAGGTTGTGAGAAGCAGGGAAACCTGGTCCACCCTGCTCACAGTGGTTCACTGCAGCAGCCGCTCCCAGTCCAACACCACCTGACACAGCGACACCGAGCCGTCGTAGGCCCAGACCCAGAAGCCCGGGTACACAGCCTCAGTGAAGGCGCAGGTGAAGGTGTGGAGGTGGACCAGGGCGTCCTGGGAGACGCAGTAGAAGGACAGAGACCCCTCATTCCAGTCCAGGTAAACCCCGACTCTATGGGTGAAGGGTTGAGGGTAGGAGGAGCTGAACCTCCTGTAGTTGTGGCACGGTGTGTATCTGCCCTCTGAGCACTCCAGACTCCAGGAGTGCCTGTAGTATCCCAGTAGGCAGGCCGCCATGGCTCCGTCTCTGGAGATGCTGTTGTAGGTGATGCCGATGTCGGCGCCACCGCTCCACTCCACCTCCCAGTACGCCGAATCCAGCAGCCCCTCCCTGCACAGGACCTGAGGGCAGTGCAGAAACCGGTCCGGGTGCTCCGAGGCTCGATCGTCTGACCAGACTCGAATGGCCTTCCTGTTGTTGTTGGTCAGGTGGAGCTCTGAGTTGGCAGTGTTGGGGTCAAGGGTCAAATAAGTGGCAACTGAGTGGGGGAAGAAGCCAGAATGAATTGATCAGTGACATATTTAAATGTGATGTATCACAGTAAGAAATGTAAACTGAACTTGTTTGCCTGTGGATCCGAATCATCAGTCGGAGGAATCAGTGAAATTTGTTTCTGACACTTCAGACTCAGCTCTGACCCTCGGGATCCAAACCATAATCAGTGGTTACAAATGAACACAAGCCTGAGGCTGTATACAGCCATTCATGTCTCTCATGTGTACAGATGAAGGAAGGAAGGTTAGCATCACCCAGAGTCAGACCATGCAGTGTGAGTATTCACTAAAACCTAAACTAATGGAAAGTATCAACAACACAACACATCAGTAATTAAACCCACAGCAGCTGCTAGTTGCAGCCTGAACATGAGTCATTGTGCTGTAAATCAACACAGCTCATAATAAAAGTGATGAAACACTGCGTACGTTCTCCCATCAAAGGCTGAAGTGTGAAATAGTGTCTGTGAAATATCTTAAAGGAACAAACACTGGCTGTAGCACAGTGGAAACGTCGCGTTCAGGCGTGAATCAGGTTGGATGATGCATCAACCTGGTCCATCAGCTGATATTCAGATGCATCACAGTATAAATGAAGTCACTGCTTATGTTGAACCCTTAAGATTAAACTGAGGTGTGAACAGCAAAATTTAGCTTTGGCCCACGTTCCATTGGGCTCATTTTAAAACACCCTCAAACATATTAGCAGCCACAGTCAGTGTGTTTTTGTGCACTGTGGTAACCTGTTACTGTGCACAAGCGGCAGGTCAGTGGTCAGACTGACTGGGGACAGGGACAGAAGACTTGTCTTTAGTTTTCAGTGTGTGTGGACACAGACAGAACAGAGCTCCTGTCCACGAACAGTCTGAATTTGACAACTGACCAAAAGTTCAACAGTGCTCGCTGGCTTCACTTTGAGCTTGACTTGGGCTTGTTTAAAATCCACGGAGGCCTGGCTCCATGTAACGATCTCTCTTTCCATCCATGGTTCCCTGTGTCTTTGTTGTGCACTCGTAAAATGCTGGTTAGAAACCTGGTTACATGGACACATGGCAGAGGAGCCTACCTTGGCTTACTACGGTTTATTACAAGTAAGAAAGTCAAAGGGAGCTGGTGACCACGTGCACAGAAACACACTCACTGACTGTTTGCATGAGGCATTCAGCCTCAGAGCCCCAGGACACGTCTGTGCAGACTGAACTGTAACGTTGATTACAGAACCTCAGGCAGATGGTTAAAGGTAGAAGGAAGCGTTTCATGTGAACCAAAGATGAAACCCATGTGTTCTTACAGTTTTTGGGCGACCACAGGTCTTCTCCTGGTTGATGCCTGTAAGAGCACAACCACAGCCAACAGTTAAATCACAAGCTGGAATTCTGGCTGCAGCAGAGCAGAGAAGTTCTGTCGGCCGTCCTTCTCACCTCTGCTCGTCTGTCTCAGCGTCTGTCAGACCAGCCAGGCTGATCCCTGAGGGCGGAGCCTCTGAAGGTTCGTCTCCTCTCTCCTCCTCCTCTTCTGCTGACACCACATGCGAGCCTCCATTGCTCCACTCCTCGCTGTCACAGCTCTGTTCAGCTGTGGAGAGTCTGACTGAATGCACAGGATTTTGTCTGCGTCTCAATTCAATCAGATTCTTTATGATCAATAATATTGTATCTACATCTTTGCTCCAAGATTTATGATAAATTCTAGTGATTTATAGGAAGATAAATACAGTAAATAAAAGCACAAACATTTTAATTTACTGTGTAAATTGCACAGAAGCCCTGAACAGTGGCCTCCTCTCAGGCTCTACATGACCCCAGTGACCTCCTGTATGCAGCCTGAGAGTCACAACCCAGGGCCAAGAAGTCCTCAATGTACACTCATATTTTTGAATGGCACAGACCATTACAGAGGAAACTGTCATCTGTTTGACCGCTGAAATGAGGAAGTGTGTTTTGTGGCTCCATGTTAATATAAGTAGAAACAAATCCAGACAGACAGCAACGTCCACCCAGAGACGGGGCAGTGGAGCCACGTAACTTGTTTAACTAATATCAGAGATCATGTTACAGCTCATGAGTTGATGTGAAGTCATCTGACCCAGGAACACAACAGGGCAGAAGTCCTGAGGGTTTATGGTCAGATTCAGACTCTGAGCCAATCGGAGCTGATCTGATATGGGAGCCTACCTGTCGTCAGCCGCTGTCCCATGTCCTCACTCTGTGCTTCAGAGACGCTTGCTGTCACCTCACACGTCTCCTCAGACACACATATGTCCCGCTCACCGTCGTCTGGTTGAGTCGCCTCGTCTTTCGTGCTGTCGTTTAGTTTCTCTTTCTGCTCTGAGTGGTTTCCCCTGGAACCGCTGTCCAGCTGTTCCTCTTTCTCTCCAGCTTCCTGTCTGTCCTCCACTTTCTTTAAAAGTTTGCGGTCTGTACTGAACAGATTCTTAAAGAGTTTGTCTGTTTTTTCAGCTTGCAGGACTTTTATTTTGGAAGAATCCTCCTTTGCAGTGATGCACTTGTCTTTCTCCTTTGAGGGACCGATCCTGAGGATGTTCGACAGGTCCTCTCTGAGGAAGCTCAGGAGGTTCAGTGGTTTCTCTGCTGTCTGATCCAACTTAGGATCCGCAGCCTTCTCGTCTTCGTCCTGGGACGAGCTGAAGACGCTGCTGATGTCTTCTTTAAACTGACATAAGTCCTCTTTCAGGAGACTGAGAGTGCTGGGCTTGTTCTCCATCTGACTCGATGGGCCGTCCTCCTTTTTCACCTCTTTGTCCTTAAACACCTTCAGGAGGTCCTCTTTGAGAAGAGCCAGTGGGCTGATCATATGTTTCTCCTTCTGTTGTGCCTTAAGAAGATCTTTCACCTTCACATCTTTATCTTCCCGGTCTGATTTGTTGGGTAAAATGTCCTCGTTGTGATGAGCTTCAGGCTCTGTTTGGCCGTTTTTCTCTGCAGTTTCCTCTGTGAGACTCATTTTCAGCCTCTGTACCTCTGTGGTTTCAGTGGAGTGCTGCTGCTGTAAAGTCTCTTCACCTCCTGTTCACTGCCATCTTCCTAGAGCTGCTGATGATGTGGCTGCAGACTCTTGGTCGTGCTGAGGAAGGCTCAGTCTATCAAAAGTCGAACATAAAGCAGAAATTTCTACAAGTGCACTGTCACAGTTTGAAACCACAGCTTTAGTCCAAACAGTGGAAAAACTAAAGACGTTTAAATAAGCTGATAAAAACCCAACTGCGGAGGGTATGAACTGATACTTTATTGATCAGTTTAAGCCATCAATAAGAACAACTTGTGGGATGCCATGTTGTGGAAATCCTCCTCCTCTCTGGTGGCTGACCACCTGTCTTCTGGAAAACAGCTGCAGCACCGAATGCCAGTGTTCGTATGTCCTCTGCATTTGTGTTCAGGCTTGTCTAAGGTTCCTCTGGATCATCTGTTGTGTTCATTCTCAGCGTGCGCTCACAGATACTTGCATCAGGCTCGGTCCCTGTGTTCTTTATCTACAAAACAAAGCCCTGCAGTTCTGTCAGACGGACCCGAGTGTTGTCGCTGTAATCTGTTTCACAGTACTCGACGTGTTTCTGGTTCGACCAGTTTGTCTCCATATTTGACTGTAGAACATGAATGTGATTGGCTGACGTGTGCAGGAGTTGGGATTGCTTCTGCTTTAGACGAGAGGGCCGGGCCTCCAGAGTGAGCCTGCAGCTGCTTGTCACAGCTGTTAGGGGTTAGTCAAAGCTTTGGGTTTAACGTTAGAGCTAAGGCCAGGGTTAGAGTTAGGGTCCAGTACCCAGTGTTCCTGGGGACTGTGTTGCCGCTGACAACCACAACTCTTACTGACAGATACAGATGGGACACGTACCTGCACCCTGCATCAGAAACCCGATTGCAGAACTCTGATCACAGGGGGATCAGAGGACGGCCAGGGTCCAAA